GCTGATAGAGAGTCCGGGAGCCATGCTTTCTGGGGTTCCTCCAGTCTCAGTCAGACCATTAAGTCTGGTCTTTTTACTAGAATTTGAGTTCTGCACTCCACCTTTCTTCTGCTCCATCAGGGAAAAAACCAAGCAGTTCTTAAATGCTCAAGATTTTATACATAAAAGTTTAGGGCTTTCTCTAAACTTAGTTTACTTTCTTTTCTATTTTTACACACTACGTCCTCTCTGCTCCTATACACATCAGTGAAATAGCTATCACAAACTATGCTAGACTACGCTCCAGGTATCTGTCAGTTTTTTCATTTTTATTTTTTGTCTGTCAATTTTTGGTGAAATCTTTTAACAAACTTACCCAGAGCCCCATCAGTATGGCACATTTCTAAAAGCAAATTAATAAACTTCATAAAGAAGTATGCTCTACCCCAAGGCAATATAGGATTCCTGCAATTTTGGGAGCTATGCCGGATATTCTGACTATGTGGCTCATCCCTGGGCAATTTTGGAGTCTACCCAGCTCTAAGAGCTCAAGTTTCCTTTACAAAATTGTAAAAATCATCACTGAAAACCAATGGTAGGGGTCATGAGAATAAGGTGAACTGTTAAATTGCTATGTTTGCGAATTGTTAAGTGAAAAAAACTGGGATAACTCACTTTTCACTACATTAGTTACTATATCCTGGATTGAGACTGGCTCTTTAATGTAATAATAACTAATTTATCGAGCACCTATTACATGATGGAGCCCTGGTGGTACAATGGTTAAGAACTCAGCTGCTAACCAAAAGGTAGGCAGTTGGAATCCCCCAGCCACTCCTTGGAAACCCTATGGGGCAGTTCTACTCTGTCCTATAGGGTCACTACGAGTTGGAATTGACTCCATGGCAACGGGTTTTGTTTTTTTTTGGTTTACTACATGACAAACACTTGGCATTAACTATCTCGAATCCTTGTAACAAGCACAAGATAGAAACTCCCCTTTTTACAATTTTGAAAATAGGCTAGAGAGTTTAAGCAACTTGTTCAGAATAACAAAAGTAGTATGTAGAGAATTAAAGATATTTTAAAAAGTCTATTTTGGTATTTTTAATGAAAATGTCTCTTGCTTTCCTACTTTTAATTCACATCCAAAGAATCATTTCTATCAGTTCTATGGCTAGCATTTAAATGAAACTAAGAGATTTATCTTTCATAGGGAATACATCTGCCTTGAAGATCAGAAAAAGGAATAAATAGTATTCTATTTTTAACCTGTGCCCCACATTTATTTATTATATATATAATTTTATATACATAAGCTTATTATACATGATAGGTTTTCTAAACTTATTATGAGTGAAAAATTAATTTCAAAAGTAAAAGCTCCTTATATTTTATGCAACATGAAACAGATGAAATACCTCTGCATTTTTGTTGAATTAAGATTTTGGATCTGGAATATATATGCATTTTTAAATAACTTTGTTACTTAATGTAGACCTTGTAAATGGCAGAATATAAAAGTTTACTATGAATTTTCATGAGTTCTGGCACTTTCAAAGTTATGGCTGTGGTATCACATTTTATTGTGACTGACAGTATAATGCTGCTGTAATAAAAATTTCCTGTCAACTTGTTCTCTCCTGAAATGCCTGAAAGCATTTCAATTTAAGTGTCAGATTAAAATACATGATGGAGAAAAGAAATGAATCTGCATTGTCCCATCTTTATATCCAGGGAAAGAGGACAGAGTGCCAAAATAATGTGGGAGCAGAAATTTGTTTTCATAATTACCTGAGAATGGGTTGTGTTGAAATGCTTTAATTACGCCATCTATTTCTGTAGTAAAGTTTTCTGTGGATAAATCTCACCATGTGGGATGAGTAAGGTTTAGAGTTTTATGTAAATTCTTAATTATCCAACTACCTTTCATTTCAGTTGGTAACAAGGTGAGGCTGACCCTGACTGTGACATCATTTATATAAATGTTATCTATCTTAAATATTCATTTCTAAGAGCTCCAAGTTTTACAAATCTCATGTTGCTTTTCCCGTTGAAAGTTCTGCTTTGGCCTATCCAAAAGCATATTTCCGCCCAATGCCAAACTCTTCGCTTGTGCCTCTGCCTTCTCCTTGAGAACTTCGCTTCAAAATTTAAACTCCTTTCATATTATTGCTCTCTTCCTCTCCTGTGGTGACTCCTTCCCCTTTCCTCTCAGCTTACTATATACTACATTGTTTCATTCTTAAAAATAAAACAAAACTAAATCATTTCCCAATTCTTCTTCCTCCTCATTCTTCCCTTCCTCTGTCAACATTTTAGAACAACGGTCTATCTCTACTCCTTCATATCTTCACCCCCTGTGACTGGGCTTTCATCTTTAATACCACATGGCATTCTTGAAGACCAGTGACTTCCTGACTGTCATGTCCTCTGGTCTTTTTAAAGTATTCTTCCTCAACTTGTCTACAGGGTATGCTCTCCTTAAAGCCTTCTTCTTTGAGTTTGATGACATTTGTGTGTTTCCTGGTTTTTCTAATACTATGCTTTTTTCTAACACTAGAGTTTTTCATACTACCGTTTTCCTGGATCATCACTTTCTTCTACCTCCCTACCTGTAGATCCCAACACTTTTAGTGATGACTAGTTCTCAAAACTGGCTATGCATCAGAAATACTCATGGCACTTTTAAAAAATATAGTTATCTAGAATCTACCACAGCTCCACTGAATCAAACTCTCCAAGAGTAGACACTGGGGAGATGTATTTTTTAAAAACCTCCTCTGGTTATTTTGGTATATAGCTATGGTTGTAGGTGTTCCTCAAGATCTTCCCTCAAACTCTCTCCCTTGGTAATGTCATGACTTTTGGGCCTTACATATTATCACTCTCCTGAGGTAATATTTCACTAGTTCTGGATTATTACAGGAAAAAAATCATTCTGCAGCCAAGTTTGGGAAAGATTAAACAACAAAATTGTCTTACTGAAGGACTTCTCAAAGCCGTATGTATACTTCATATCTCTATATAACAACTTGTTAGGGCCTCTTGATTCCATTAGAAAGGGCTGTTTACATCCAAATTGATCTTGCTTCTAATTCCTACCTTCTATATAATCCACTTTAAACATTATTGCCAGATTATCAATATAAGGCACAAATTTACTCCTGACACTCTTCTACTCAAAAACTTCAATTACCATTGAATTACAGAGCCAAGTTTAAATTCTCTAGCTTGGCATTCAAGGCCTTGAAAGATATGGCTTGAACATTTTCAACTTGCTTTTTTCTTTCATTATATGATGAAGAGTGTAGACCTTGAAGTCAGACATATTTGGGTTTGAATTAGGTTTTGTCTTGGGCAAATAATTTAAACTCATAAGTCTCAGTTTGCTTATAAATGAAAGCACGATAATACTGCCTCCACCTGGAAAGGTTATTTGAAGATTACATATTGGTTGCCCCTTCTCATATCAAAGAACTTGCTATCACCTACTAAAAACAGTAGTTCTTAAATTTCTGTATGGGTCGTTATTTGCAGGGGTATTTGTTACGAAAGGAGATGCCTTTGACTTGGTAGTCTGTGTGAGGCTCTAGAACTACACTGCCCATGTGGTAGCCACTAGCCACATGTGGCTATTGAGTAATGAAATATGGTTAAACTAAACTGAGATGTGCTGTAAGTGTAAGATACACAATGGATTTCAAAGACTTAATATGAAAAGAAAAATATCTCATTAATAATTTTGGATTGATAACATGTTGAAATGATAATCTGGATACATTAGCTTAAATAACATATATTATTCAAATTAATTTGACTTATTTCTTTTTTACTTTTTAATGTGGCTACCAGAACATTTAAAATTACATGTGGCCTGCACCATATTTCTATTGAATAACACTGCACGGGAATCTGCATTTTTAACAAGTTCTCCAGATGATTCTGTGGAAAGTATCCTCAGATCCCCTTTTGAGAAACAGTATATGAAACTCTATGCTCTTTAAAGAACTGATGCCTTTATGTATCTTTATTGCCTCTATATATCTTTACATCTTCACGGTATTCTGAGCATTGCAGGTGGTTAACTATATACTGATTGAATTTAGTTATACATTAAATTTTGAGCAATCAAAATTCATTTAAAAAAATTTCATTAGAAGCTTTGCTTTTATTTTTTTTTTTTCTTTCCCAGTTCCTAAAGAATTACTTGTGAATTGTAGTTCTTGGATGGGACAAAAAACTTGAAGCTTTGATTAGTTCCAAAATTAGTAAAAATAATTTATTTTCTAAAAGAATTAGGGCTTTCCCCTATAGCTATTTAGTTTCATGTAGAAATAGGCTATTCATTTTACTAAATTCCAAAGCTGTTGGATATTGTCATACTTAACTTCAAGACTAGTGATTAACACAAAATCAGCACACCCAAAACCCATTGCCACTGAGTTGATTCCAGCTAGTGATGCTATAGGACAGAGCAGAACTGCCCCATAGGGTTTCCAAGGAGTGGCTGGTGGATTTGAACTGCTGACCTTTTGGTTAGCAGCTAAGCTCTTAACCACTGCACCACCAGGGCTCCTTAAGACTAGTGATTAACACAAAATCAGGAGCACATGATAATTTTTATACCGTAGCAATTTAGCCAGATGAGAAAACGAAGACACCAATCTGGTGAAAGGGTGTTTCTATTTAGGGGTAGATGGGGTGAGGATGGTTGAGTGTCCCAGAAGTAAAGAGACAGAAAATTGAGATACAATCAAAGATATGTAAGTATTGCTGGGATGCAGACTAATCTTGATTTTAATGATTGTTAGAAGACAGCCACAAAATTAGAAATAACTTTTCAAGAATGTTTGGTAATAATTCTCAGAAAAGATTTTCCCACTTACCTCATTGCTACATTGCTGCCATCAATAACTATTGGTCTCAGATTTTCACCATCATCTGTTATAATCTCTTGCATTGGAGATTCAGACCTCTGAGATTCCAGGGAAGACGTTTCCCGCATTATACTGTTGATTGTGCTAACTGTTTGATCAGTTTCACTTTTATTTCCAAGTTTGACCAGTTCTCCCAATATATCATTGATTAAAGCATCGGTACCGAGTTTGTTTAGCACAAGCTGAACCTGTTCTTCGGAATAACCTAACTTAAGTGCAAACTCCAGTTTTGTTTGGTATTCTCGTACCACATCAGGGGGTTTCTTTGCTTCCTTGGATGTAGTCTGGGACTCTTCAGTTTTAAAGTCTTGCAAAATTTCACTGCATTTGAGTACATGGGGCTCTAAACAGGGAGATCTACAGAGTTGTCGGTGAGTCTTAGTTAATAAGCACGGCTCTACGGAAATACTACTCAACTGTTCTGACTCATTATCAGAATTTGTGCTTTCTTCAGAGTCACCAGAGCTTGCATTCTCTTCAGACACCTCTTTTTCCGTATCTTCCTTCCTGGAACTAACTTTTTCCATTGTTGGTTTTTCTACCATTGGCCAAGGTACAGCTGCACTTAAATGTGGGTCAGTGGTCTCCACATAAAGGTGGCCGAGGTCATGGCCCAGATGATCCTTCAAGCCCATGAAGCTGTTCCGTGTACTTGACTCCACTTTGCTGTTTTTTCTGTATTCCTGAATGCAAAGCGCTCCGTATTCCTAGGGAAAAATGTAAAATATTTAGGACTACATTATTTCCTGTTACATTTTTGTCTTCAAAGGTCATAAGATTACTCAAAGTCATTAGATTACCAACACCTACTTTATATTTTGTCTGCATCCTCTCATCCCTTATAATACCCTTGTCAAGACAGTATAATGCCCCATTTTTCAGATGAACAGGTATTAATTAGGAAGGCCATGTAATTCCTCCAAAGCAACAAAGCAAATAAGTAGTAGAATCAGATTTTAAAGACAGATTTGTTTGACTTCAAAACTCATGCTCAACCTAGATGGAAGAGATTTTTCCACTTTAGAAACTTATGTTTCTAGAGTAACACAGAATATTACCATAAAACACATTTTAGTTAGGCCAATGACAGGTTATGTACATTTTCTCTAAAGAATTCATAAAAATCTATAAAAATTCTTGAGCGAGAGAAAGCTATGTGGAAGTAAAGGTAAATATTAGCTTACAATAATTGAAAATTATCATTAATTTGAATCAACCTTAACAACAATCTAAAGTTTTAAAAATAATTTAGATACTACAATGAAAGAGTATATACTCTAAAATAGCCAGTGAAGAATTAAATAATTACAAAGTGCATTATATTCCATTTAGAGATGAATACAGTTTTACCCTAATAATTATTTTTATATATTGGACATGGTAACAGAATATAACTTTTAACATTACGCCACCCTTATTAAGTACCAGGGACACCAGGGTGGGGGTGGGGGGAGCTGTTTTATTCTATGTACATTTGTGGAAAGCAGGAAAATTAACTATTTCATATAAAATTAGCAGCAAGTAATTAAGAACATTAAATAAATGTTATCTCAATTTCACAGGAGTCCCTGAACGGTGCAAACAGTTAAGTGCTCGACTACTAGCCAAAAAGTTGGTGGTTCAAACCTACCAGGAGGCGCCTTGGAAGAAGGCCTGGTGATCTGCTTCTCAAAGGTTACAGCCTTGAAAACCCTATGGAGTGCAATTCTACTCTGCACTCATACGGCTGCCGTGAGTTACAGGTGACTTGATGGCAACTAATAACAAGAAGACCTCAATTTCTTGAAATTTCAGAAAATTTTTCTGATTGCATCAGATTAATTAACCATTATCTGCATTTGGTTAAAAAGTCATCTTTCTCCTATAAAAATGTTTTTTTACTATTTAAAACGCTTTTGCTTTTTTACTTTTTCCCTAAAGTCCATTGGAAATAGTTGTTATTTCTCTACCAGGAACACATTAGCAAAATAAAATCATTTTCTCTTGTGCTTCATTGAAAGGACTATATCCACATCAGCAGTTTACTTATCAAGCCAATTCCAGTGTTCTATCCAGGATAACTTGTCCCTGTTCAGGTGTCTGCTCTTACGGAGCCCTGGTGGCATAGTGGTTAAATGCTTGGCTGCTAACTGAAAGGTCGGCGATTTGGACCCACCAGCCACTCTTCGGGAGAAAGATGTGGCAGTCTGCTTCTGTAAAGATTACAGCCTCAGAAACCCTATAGGGCAGTTCTACTCTGTCTAATAGGGTCGCTACAGGTTAGGATCAAATTGACAGCAGTGTTTTTTGTTTTTTTTTTTAATCCAGGGTAATAGCATGCTAGTGGTAGATGAATTTAAGCTGTCATAAAACACCTATTTAAATAACCTAAAAAAGAAAATTGGAAAAATATTTTAAAGTTCTTCAATATCTTATTTACACTAGAAAGGAGCTATTATAGTAATGTTAAAAGAAAAATGTTATTTTCTAGGAAGTCACAAATTTAAATGAATATTTGGTGACTTATTAGAGAGTAAAACACTTCTACATAATGAAATAAATTATATTAACTATGGTTAATATAACCATAGTTATGGAATCCTTAGCTTGAAAACAATACATTTACAATTCCTTCAGCGTAGAACTCCTACACACTTCCATAGGAGCCTTTTTCAGGTTTTATCCCCTGAGAAAACAGATAACTTCAATACCATTGTTCCACTAATAATACAGTATTCTTTAGCTTTAAAGAAACATCAAACTCTCTCAGCTCCTAATTGCACAACTGATAAAAATGAATATCCCTTAGGAGAGGTCTATATACATGTGTTCCATTATGAAGCTATATCCACTTCAATTTTTTTCTATTAATATGGATATGCAAGAGCCCAATTATTTAGAATTAAAGGAAAGGATTCTGAAAGTAAATCTTTACACTCAGTGATTTATTAACTACTGTAATATACTGACACCATAATGCAAGTAACAAATCACAACAGCATCCTAATAAAGGGATACAGTTAAAAGAAAAATCTGCACTGTGGCCTTCGTAGAGCTCCCACCAAAAGTGTCTTAAACAAGGAAAATCTATTGGAAGCTGGGCTGCCTGGCAACAAGAAGCTGGTTGCTAAGCTGCACTCCTTTAACATGCCATCATGAATGCTAGCACAGTGAAAGAATAATTTGGTATGAACAAAAGCCTATAAAAGAGACTGGGACTTGAGTGCATCTGGTTTACCCTCTGAGAACAATGCAGCTGCCAAACCAATCTGGAAGCGCCGACATCATTGTTCTGTAAACCCCACAATCTGCTCTGACTGCAGGAAGTGTATTTAACGGGCAACATTTTTGATCTCCCCTGAAAAGTTTGGGTTTTGCATAAGTGCTGTTGTGAGATAATTCTTCAAGACAATGACTCACTGACCAAATCCCTGAACGGAACTAGGATATACTATTTTAATATTGAGCTCTAGTGCTTTTCTGTTGGGCTGGATCAGACAAGATGAATACCTTATGAAAAATACAGAGGAAATATTAAAAGATGAGTGAAATTATTTTTAATTTTCACATTTTTCAAAGAAACAAAACCAGGTACTGTAAACCTTTTAAAATGAAAATTAACCACTCCAAAAAAAATAATAAATCTTTCTACCTACCTTCAATATAACTGTCAACGACCCAAAGCTGCTCTGCCATATAATTTTACTATGTTTATAATGATAAAATAGGAAGAAAAATAGAACTATCAGTTGTTTTTATAATATTATGCCAGATAAACTCATTTGTATGCCAATATCACATACCTTTAAATTGTGATAATTCATATAAATTGTACATATTTAAATAAAAAATTTTCAATAATTGGGCTAACATGATTTTTAAGGCTAAGGATAAATGTAAGCCTGACCTACTTTTTTTTATTAACATCTAATTGGGTTAGGCAGCACAATTTTTCTTTTAAAATATTCTGGTTGAACTTTTTTCACACTGAGAGGCCCTTCTTCATCTTCTAGATTTCAATGGTTAGCTCAGATAAAGTTACCCAATCCTATCGTGTACTAAATAAGCGGTTAAATAATTTTTAGAACCTGTAATGCAACAGACAAAACAGGAAAGACTACAAATAAGGGTGAATGAGTTCAATTACCACGCCTGTAAGCTGCATATATTTTCTCCATCACATAATACAAATCTGATATAACCTGATTTGTACTGACTTCAAATGGTAAAGATTTGGTTTTTAAAACTTTTAATCTCTAAAATGCTTCCTTAGTCACTTGTAATTAGTTAAAGATTACCCTGACTTAATATGACACTTTACAAAATATCAGAATTTGGCAGTATTTTGAAATCATTCAAAAAAATTATATGCTAGTGTTAAGATTTAAAAACTAATCAGAAAAATATTTTCATAGGCTGCAGTACTTGTTAACGTAACGGAATGTGCAAAACTTGCAAGAGAATTATTATAGAAGATTTGGGGACAAAGAACGGTATCTCACCTTTGTTTTTATTCAGTGCCTTAAAATGATCAATACAATTTTGAAAAAAGACGCCAATGACATCAAAAAGTGCATTACTTCATGTAGGACAGAAACTAGGTTTTTCGTCAATTTCTAAACCGTTCATTAGACTTTCAAGTGATTGCATTTACTCCAGTGTAAACTTGTGTAAATCATCTTTAGTAACAAGGGTAATTTTCCTTATTTCATTAAGCAGCAGCACAGTCAAAATTTCACACATTAAGTAGGTCAGAGTTTATACTCCCTTAGTTATCAAAAAAACTACAGGAGCATAAACTGTATGGCTTAACTTTTAAACTTCACATCAGGGGTCCATTATAACTGTCTTTTATATGCTATATTCTTGCACACAAAAGGTACTGGCAAAAGTAAATGATCTGAGAACATATTCCTACACTTACAAATCTATAGATTCCCTCCAGAAATTCCATCTGAAACTGAAATAATTTTTCTTGTTAATGGCCTAATAAGTTTAAAAATTAAATAATTCAATTTTTTAAAAATGAACCAAATTTTCATGCTAATTTGGTAGGCGATGATAAAGTATAACTGATTTTTTAAAGTTTTCAGAAACTTTTTTTTAAAACTCTTTACATTAGCTGAATGCAGGTTTATGATATAATGGCTATTTACTCCAAACTTACTGCACGCCCACAAATTCCTCTATTTAGTGAGTGGATTTTCTGAAAGCTCTCATTAGATAACCTGGATAATCCTTCACCTCAAATTAGGTATAAAATTTTTTTTTTAATAAAGAGCCACATATTAATCAAGAATACTAGATCATAAACTTGTTAAACCGATTTATTTGTTTGTAAAGTTACAATGCCATAAAAGTGGTTCTGGTTGTTATCCAAATGGTAATACTATGAGAACAATGGAAATAAAATAATGAATATGTAATAAATACCTACTGCTGTAGTCTCTGTGTATTTAATTACCATTGTATTTCAGTGAGTGCTGTTGTCTGCATCCCTCTAAGCAACAAAGGAAGGATGTCCCTTTGAACAGATTGGTTAATGCTCTGGGGCAACAGATGTCTACTGGAACTGCAGGAGACCAGCAACTGGTGGCCTGCCCATCTTCTGAAAACTTTCAATAGACTTATGCATATGTTCACACAATAGGGCATGTGGTAGAAATGAAAACCTCTTTTTAACCCTTTATGTTCTTTCCTTCCCCCCAACTGACAGATGAAAGTCTTTGTCGTCTCCTCCCTTCCTCATTACAGAACTCTTGAAAGCCAATAGTTTGTGGAATGACATCTTCAATCTAATATTGGAAACTAACGCAAGTAAAAAAAAGAAAAAACAAACGGTGGGGAGAAGAAATTAGAAACTGTGCGTGAATACTGACACTGCTGGACACAAAGCAATTAAATGCTTAATCATCTTATTGAAAACAAGCTGTTTGAAACACCTGCCTATTTCTATCAATCCATCTTTCCCAACTAGATTCTTAAGACAATGGAAAATCTACCAGCACCTAGGTATGGCGGTGACACCTTAAGAAACATAAGAATTTGATGAGAATATAAAATCTAAATTCACTGTTTATCCAGACATCAGAACATGTTGTAAGTTGTCTTTAAGTTCCAAAGGATCACAAGCCATCCTGAAAGCCTTACAAATGTTCATGAAGTTATAAGTCATTATTTACATGACTCCAGAAAATAAAAATATAAAAATCTGCTTCATAGACATATTTTGCAGAAAGAAGATATTTTGAAACTATATAAAATGTTAGGCTTTCATTTCAGGTGCTTCCTATCCTTTACAGAATTCAAATTAATACTATTTTGCAAAGTTTAACTTCCAAGGCGTTAAGTAGCACAGATACTCACGTTAGCAGGAAAATACAAAGACATTGGTTTCTGTAGCAGCTTCAGCAGTAACTCCTTAACACAATTTTAGCTGCA